GTAAAGTATCTCCAAGCTAATTTCGACTGATGCTTAAATTCGGAAAAAATCCAGGCAGTAAATCCGGGACGAAATAGAAAATATCTTTTACCAAGGACAGTAAGCAAAAAATTTAAACCTGTCCCTGGCTGAAACAAGTCGGTTGATCACCTTATAAATGGGGTTTAATATTTTTTTAGGTATAACTCTGCCTACCTCAACAAGTAGAAATGCAAAAGATTTGCGAAAACTCTGTCCAGAATATTTTTCTGGATTTAGTATTTTTCAAGAGTAGAAATGTCTTTCCTCATTTTGGTAAATTTGTAAATATCAATTCTTTGGACCGTAAATTATTTACCATTCTTAAAAATCTGATGTGTCCAACACATGACTTTCCTATCTAGTTATTATAGGCTTTTTCCGGTTATTTTGTATAACCTACTGCAGCACCTCTATAAATGTTTAGTGGATAAACTAAATATATACATTTTCCACATACATCTAACTCGAAACATTTTTCTATAGATATTCATTGAAAACGAAAATACTGATAAATTTAAATTTAACACTTTTCCTCCAATTTTTTAATTACGGTCCATTTTAGAAAAATCATGTAAAAACAATTATAGAGATCAATATCGCAAACAACTTTTAGTTTAACAATTTTCTTGAAAATCAGAATTTTGCACATTTTGTCAAATTTCTCGAATACGGACCATTTCAGGAAAATTTGGTATAAAAAAAAATTATAGAGAATAATATAAGAAGTAAATTTTATTTGAACAATTTTCTTTTCCAAACGTAAATAACGGATAAATTTCATAAAATATAAAAACGAACTTCTATAAAGTACCCCCCAGGTGTTCTGACTTTGTCCAAAATCTAATCATTTCACCTCAGGCCGAAATAAAACTTAAGTTTAAAATTTAATGTTTTTTCCTTTATATAGAAATTAATTAATTAAATTATATAGAATTATATTACAAACAACTTTTATATTAACAATTTTTATAAAAAATTGTTTTTTTACATTTTGTCAAATTTGTCGAATACGGACCATTTTAGTAAAATTTTGGATAGAAAAAAAAATTATAGATAATAATATTGTAACTTTATTTGAAGAATTTTCTTCTCCAAACGTAAATAATAGATATATTCCATAAAATATTAAAATGACCACCTTTAAAGTACCCCCTCAGATGTTCCGATTCTGCCCAAAATCTAACAAGTTCATTGAAGGTCGGAATAAAGCTGACACAGACATCATCGCTAAAATAGTCAAAACGGATTCAGGGGATCCCAAAACGTAAAAACCGTTGAAAACTCGAGGTCGAAAAAAATCATAATTCCTATAATTTCCTTATCTGTGTACAGATAGGAAAGTAAAAATAGCAAATCACTACATGTAACATATGAGTTGGACGACTACTAATGTATTTTCTACATATTTCATAAAAGTTATCCATATACATATTTTTCGAGTTATTTTTGTCTTGGTTTTGGGCATATTTCCTAAAAAAGCTGATCCGAAGTCTTGTAAATCACTAATATTCATGCAATACATCTTATTAGCCAGACAAGCACCCATAATTTTCACTCAATATAACCTCTTCAGGTGTTATTTCTTGAACAACAATACTTATATTGTTTTCAAATTCTTCCAGCAAATGTGACAGGTCTTTATAAACTACTGATTTCAAGTGTACCCAAAGAAAAAATCCAGTGACCGTGTCGACCACTCAATATGTATTCTTCGACCCACACATCTCTCCGAAAATATTGTGTTAGGTAAGTACTGGCTTACCTAGCATCGAAATGAGGAGGAACACCATCTTGCTGGAACTAAATTTCATGAGAAATTTCTATGATTTGGAAATAAAGGAACTCTGGAACTATCTGCTCATGAAGAAGTTGCAAAATCGATCACCGTTCAGAATTCCTCTCATGAGGCATGGTTTAATAATATTATTCCTCTCATTATACCAGCCCAAACATTAAACTTTTGTGGATATTGGGCGTGACCTTCTTCCATCCAGTTAGAATTATGATCAGACTAATTCTGGCAATTATGTTTATTTACAAATCCACTGAGAAAACGTCGATTCGTCGGAGAAAACAATGTTGTTCACAAACATATTATTATTTCAATGGTATCCATCATTTTCTGACAGAATTGCATTCTCCTATCTAAGTCATCTTCATTTAATTCTTGGCGTAATTGCACTTTAAGGGATGAAATTTATTGACTTTCAGAATCATCCTTACATATCTCTCTCTCTAACGCAAGCTTTGGAGCTGAAGTTTTTGGTACTTCCTGTACAGTTAAGTGCATTTTCTTCATCAGTGACTGTCCTCTTCCGTCCAAATCTGGGATTGTTTTTCATACTTCCTATTTCATTGAACTTGCTCAAATTTCTGGTTACTGTAGATTTAGAAATCGGGGAAATTGTATCAAGAAATGTTTCATTGATCAAATCACAAGATTCTTGCAGGGATCTATTTTCGTCTCCAAACCCAATAATCACCAGTAATGTAATTATTCCACGTTCAGTTCGTTCAACTATGGTTTAAAGTGATTTATTGTCGCGTATTTGGCTAGTTTGGGTGGAATGAATAGACTTGCAATTAAATTCTACTTGTTTAATTATATCCATAAATCAGATTGAATTAAAATCTACAGATTAATAAAAAGTGACATGGTGGCAATATTATAAAAACAAGTAAACAGTAATGGTCAATTCGCACAAGATCGACCAGCAGCAGCACAATACGAGTACAGGCGGACAGCTGAACGGCGATAACGTAAACAGAAGATCAGGGCCGGAATGGTTAAAAATGGCTCACATGATAATAATATATAGCGTTTTGAGTGAGATAAATCGTAAAAAAGGGTACATTTTAAAACTGTTGTGGACCAAAACAATTCTTCAAAAGATTTTTGGGTAATTTGATAAAAAAAAATTTTGGTGTTAAATATTGACACAAAATAGGGCATTGACAGATAGATATTTATTTGAACAAATACGTAGAATACAGAGATAACAAACAAACAAACAAACAAACAAACAAACAAATATCGTGCTGTAATGAATAAGACATATTCTAAGGGACACAAGAGGGTATCATATCTGTTGTCAGGCCTATTTCATTATTCTCGTTTTTTTTTTACAAAATCATTTACATATCTTAAAAAAAGCTAAAATAATTCAACCTATTTTATTGCAAATTAACCCAAAAATTTTTGAATCGTTAGTTATATCAAATTTAACTAAATTAGATTTAATTTGTAATTTCACTAAATATGATGAAATAATTTTTAATAAATTCGAAAAATCGTCTTAATGTTAAGTTGTATATCAAGTATTTGGTACTAAATGTGGCAACAGGGCTTTCATGTTCTACAAGCTCTTACTCATACAGTACTTACTATTTTGTATTAGGCATAGCCGTGCTTTCACACTGAACACGTGGTAACTACGATATCCATGCCTGTTGCCATTTTATTAACTTATATTCTAGTCGTATGCCTAACACGAAAAAGTAAGTACTATTTATTCATTGACACACATTTTTGTATCTCCGTAAAACCCTTGTTTATCCCCTCTCTTACCTCTCACCACACGTCTCTTCACTCCTCATCGCCAATTGAACGGTATCGAGTGTCGAATCGATGTTATCAACATGAATATTACATTTTATCAATGAATAGCTACATCTCTTGTCATCTCTGGTAGAAAAACAATCACTTTGAACATCATTGCAAGCAAAGTAAAATTTTTATTTGGACAAAGTGATATAATACAAAATATAACAAATAAGAATAGTAAGAAATCATAATAAAGCATGATACACAAACCATGTTTCTAAAGTATAGGCCATGTCCGCCAAAGACAGATACGAGTCACGTCTCTTAATTAAATCCAAACTTACAGTTAAAAAGAAGAAGGATTGTATGGAAGTACGTTCATACATTTTTCGAAGGCCTACCTTAGAATTATATTTTGATCATTCCTTATTATGGGGTTGCGTAGATGCTATTTAATTAGCAGATTGATTCTGCAATTAAATTGTCATTAGGTATGAACCTGGCAACGGTGGATCTGTATTCAGCTGAGAGAGGGAAACTTGTTGTCCATAAATCAAAATAATGACTAATGGCACACTGTTTATTTAATTATTCGAAAAAGGAGAACAAATATGTTTTTTTTTTCTATGCTTGTTGGAAATTCAATCTCACTATCTGGATGATACCAAAATTGTGCAATTCTATAGGTGAAAACGCGACCCCGAAACAACTCACCTGTTATAGTTTCGAACTTAAAATGTGCGTAATGAGATGCGTGCTGAGGCATTGTTGCTGGAGTGCCGATAAGCAAGAAACGAAACGGGGAGTGTAGTCTGTTAAAAGTTTTGAAGCGGTGTCTATAACTAGATGCAGAAAGTCGACTCCAGGGCATCTTCTCTATTGAAAGATTGAAACTAGAGTGACGCGAGCAGTGATTTGCACGTGGAATTTTTCTAGACATGTTTCGTATTTTTATTGAGTGGAAAAGAAAAAATGCTGCGATATAAGAGAGAATATATAACGGAATGTGGTTTGGTTGCTGTTCGTACTGGTGGCTACGTGATATTTCTCATATTTTTGCAGCAAATATATTTAGCCTGTACTATATTTGAGATTGGATGAGATTTTTTTTTTGTAGGATAAATAAAATGCATTTCTTGAATGGGTGAGTTTAACATAAATGGAAAAATAGGAGCGGTTTGCAAAATGTTATGTTTAAATTTAAGATTTTGTTCTGAAATTTAAACAGATGCAAAACATCCACGTTTCAGTGCCTTTGATTCATTATTAACAATATGAATGCGACTTCCATGCTATTTTTCTCCAACAATTGGAATGTCATTTTTCTTTGTAGTTATGTGCCATTTTTTCTTCTGAAAATAAACAAGAGAACATAACTTCGCATTTTACTTTAACCCATTTAAGTACCAATATTTTTTTTCGAACAATTTTGCAGATATGCCTTTGGAAAAACCGATATGCAGTGAAAATCTCGCTGGAATTTCATCATTGTCCGGAGAATGGAAACAACGGGCCGAAGAAGAATTAAACGAGACTCCTGAGGTTTTCGGACGGGAATTAGCAGCTCTCAAGCGGATGGTAAAAAGTAAGGAACGACAATACTAAAATTACTAAAAGTATAGGGTGTACCAAAATAATGACAAATAATTTCGATTTACAAATGCTTTCTATGTACATACAAATGCGCAGTGTATTAGGAATCATGTAAGACTGCGACGCTCTAAAAATTAACTGAAATTCTTTTGAAGGCGTTGAAAAACTAATTAAGATTTATTATATTGGTTATTATTGTTGAATTTAACTGAGGTAATAACTTAAGAGACTTTGACAAACATATATTTAATAATCAAAAAATAGTTTCAAATCAGTGTCAAAAACAAAGACATCATATTAAAATCTAGCAAACACATTCAATATACAGAGTGAAGTTAATAATAATAATTGAGAATTACACCGGGAATTTTCAACACTCTCCCTCAGTGTGTATTCTCCATTATTTTTGCACATAAATAATTTAAGGAATCTCTTGATAAAGGCTTTGTTAACATATCTGAAATATTTTCCTTTGATTGAATATATTCGATGTTAACATCTTTCGATATAACGCGTTCCCTAACATAATGAATATATATATGCTTGCTTCGTTGATGAAGAGCTGGATTTTCAGAAATATGTATTGCGGCCTGGTTATCACAAAGTAATAGTGTATTGGTTTGACCAAGAAGATCTTTTATGATATATTGCATCCAAATAGCTTGTCTACAAGCTATGCTTAGTGCCATATATTCAGACTCTGTTGTGCTTACTGCCACAGATTGCTGTTTCTTAGTAGTCCAAGATACAGGAGCCAATCCATAAAAACCCATATATCCACTATACGATCGCCTATCATCAATGCAACTTGCATAAGAAGCATCACTAAACATTGATATTGATGGTGAAATTGTGTATTTGTATATAAGTTTTTGATTTACGGATCCTCTGAGATAACGTAAGAGATGTTGAATCATATTATCATGAATAACCGTAGGATCTACATAAAATTGTGATAATATATTAACTGCAAACGTTATATCTGGCCTTGTTCCTGTAGCGAGGTAAAGAAGACTTCCAATTTTTGATTGGTAACATTTTTTATCGGTTCTCAAATCACCTTCTTTTGCTTTTTGTGGCTTGCAGCCTGGATCCATTGGCGTAGATGTAGGATTGCAGTTAGACATTTTATACTTCTCCAGTAATTTAAGAATATACTGTTTTTGATGTACATATACATAAGTTGGACCCCATTCAATTTGTAACGATAATAAAAATTTTGGTATACCAAGAAAAGTGACTTCAAAATTATTTTGTAGAGCATTTTCGATTTTGCGTATCCTTTCTTCGGTACTTCCTAATAATAATATATCATCTACATATATTGCTAGAGCCAGTTGATAATCCGATGATACAAATAAACATGGATCTGCAACTGATTGGTGGAGATTAATGCCTTTAAGAACTGATACTAGCCTATGATTCCATTGACGTGGGGCCTGCTTTAATCCATAAATACTTCTTTTTAGAAGACATACTCTCCCTTGTTCCTCACTCAAACCTTCTGGTAATTTCATATAGATTTGAAAGTCTATGTCGCCGTTGAGAAATGCAGTCTTTATGTCTTTATGTTTGTTAACTGCATGTGCTAGTAAAATTCTAACTGTCTCGTAGCGCACTACGGGAGCAAAAGTATCCTCAAAATCAATACCGTGTATTTGACTATACCCTTGTGCTACTAGTCTTGCCTTATATTTGGAGATTTTCCCATTATCTCCTAGCTTTTTCTTAAAAACCTTTTTACATACAATGGTTCTTTCTCCAGGAGGCATTTCAATAATCTCCCAAACATTATTTTTCTTCATTGACTCGAGTTCATCATTGATGGCAGCTATCCATAAATCTGATTCAGGTCCTCTAACAGCATCTATATATGAAAGTGGTTCATCTAAAGCTAAGTTACAAAATTCCTCTGTATAGCGAATAGGCGGTTTACTTTCTCTTGCGCTGTGTCTGAAGGATACATAATTTGGTGTTAAATCTGGTTCTTTACTGGATGTTGATGGCGTAGAATTTGGTACTAAGTCTGGTTCCTCATAGGGTGTTGATGACAAATTAAATTGAATTTCTTTATTTTCACTTTGATCAGTCTCTCCACTATTTTCATTAGGATTTTGTACAGGGGTATTGTTTAGTTCCTTTTTTCTAATAGTGATATAAATATTACTCCTTCTTGACCTTCTTGAGGGATTAACTTAAAGTCTTTCGACACAATTATAGTTTTACCATTCCAAAACCGGTACCAGCCTGCTTTTTTGCAAAATCCGATTAGAAATGATTTGTAGGCTCTAGGATACAGTTTGCTTCCTGGCTTTTGAGTTGCCGAAGGGATATTTACATAGGCCTTTTGGCCGAAGTATTGTAGATGACCTATCTTTGGTTTCATTCCAAAAAACATTTCAAAGGGAGTTTTTTTATTGAATGCGTGAGGAATTCTATTTTTTATATATACCGAGTGTGCTACCGATTCTGCCCATAATGTCAAGGGCAAATCAGAATCAATTAGATTGGTTCTAGACATTGTAGTTACAGTTCTATTTAGTCTCTCTGCTAATCCATTCGTTTCATGTATATATGGTATAGAATTTTCATGTTCTATACCGCGTGACTTGAAGAATAATTGTAAAGTTCTAGATTTATATTCACCTCCATTATCGGATTTGAAAATTTTAATGTTTCTCCCTGTTTGCTTTTCTACCTTTTGTACATACTCTTTTATTGCTTCTAGCGCATCACTTTTTTGTTTTAAAAAATTAATCTCTGTGTAACGGGAATATTCATCAATGAATGAGATGTAGTATAGACTTCCACCTATTGATTTCGTTGAGAATGGTCCACATATATCAGAGTGAATTTTTTCTAGCAAGTATTGACACACATTTCCAGGCTCTCTTGTTATTCTTCTAGTCATTTTGGAAAGTTCACATGCTTTACAGTCTATTATGATGGATTTAATATTCGGAATAACATTAGGATCAGCTACTGCGCACTTAAGATCTCGGAAGGAACTTATAGGAAGATGTCCCAATCGTCTATGCCAACTAGTTATATTTTCTGAGGCATTACTAAAATTAGATGATTGCAACTCAGCTTCCTGGAAAACATTTTCTTTTAATTGAGATACAATCCACCCAATCATACGTCCATTTTTCCATAATGTTATATCTTTATCACCTTTCATTGTTACTCCATTTGTTCTGATAGTTTCCCAAGACATCAGTGAACACTTTAATTCTGGAGCATACAAGACATTGTGTATTCTGACATTCAGAGTTGAACCATCAGGTAATATAGCTTTAAGTTTAACTTCTCCTATATGAGTAACTTCAATTTTTTTATCATTACCCAGTCGAATGAAACTGTTGTAGGGACGAAGATTACAAAATGCATCTTTATTTCCAGACATATGAGAAGTTGCACCTGTATCAAATATCCATCTGTTTGATTTAGAACTGGTTGTAAATGCTGGATAGGCATGCTCGTTATCTTCTGAATCCCATACTGTATTATTTGTTTTTTCATCTTCTTTTTTATTTCGGCAGTTTATTATTGTATGTCCTTTATACCATTTTTTCTTATCTTTACAATACGTGCATTCTTTTGTATTATATCTTCTAAAATTTTTATTTCTTCCCAGCTATAGTATTAGTTTTTGTAGACAATTCTAATAATCGTGCGCATACATCATCATATGTTAAGTTTTGTTTAGTTTTTAGATTATCTATTATGTTATCTAATTCTTCTGGTAAGGTTGTGAGAAAAAGTGATCCCTTTGCCTTCATTGAATTTGCTAGCGGACGTAGTGCAGCTTCTAGGGAATCGAGTTCTTCATTGGAAGTAACTGAAGTCCTTTCTACTAACCGTGACCACAATTCATTGTATTTAGCAATGTGTTCCTGTATTTTGGCTTTATTTTCGCATTTAATCCCAACTATTGATTTTACAAGAGCGTGAAGAGAGTATTCATTTTTTCGGTCAAACAGATCGTTTAAAACTCTCCACATATCCCAAGAATCTGTGTAGCAAGTGATCTGAGAAGCGATATTCGTATCCACATTGAAAAGAATAAAAGCCCTGGATAAGGAATGACGATACCTCCAGTCTTCACATTTAGAAACATAATTGTTTTTTTCTTCTGCATGTTTATTTGAATCTTTCGTATCAAATTCTGGAACATTTAGTGAAGGATTCGTTTCTTCTCCATTGACTATTTTGTACAGATTATATAAATCCATATAAGCAAAAGCCATTGCTCGCCAGGAGTGGAAGTTAGATAATCCATGAAGTTTATCTATCTTTGGAAACTTATCCATAACTGTATTTTATGCAATTTTAATTGCAAAATATTGTGTCTAGTTTCTTTTAGTTATAGCGTTGTCTGGGCGCATAACCTGTTGAATTTAACTGAGGTAATAACTTAAGAGACTTTGACAAACATATATTTAATAATCAAAAAATAGTTTCAAATCAGTGTCAAAAACAAAGACATCATATTAAAATCTAGCAAACACATTCAATATACAGAGTGAAGTTAATAATAATAATTGGGAATTACACTGGGAAATTTCAACAATTATAGTTATTTTATTGTTTATCTAAATAAAGGATATGCAGGGTACAATTTAAATGTAAATGTAAGCTTTTATACGTTTTTTTTCTAGTAAAATAACGTGACAAAGCTCTAAAATTAATTAAATTTATTTCATTGCATGTCATTGTTTTTCTTGTCTCTATATACTTCGTCTATACCATCCGGTGTTCGGCTAATTGTTTCATTTTTTCTTTTTGCTTCCCTAAACTTTTAAATTCAGAAATACAAGGTTTTTATAATACTATACTCCATCAGAATCTCTCCACGCAATATTTATGATGACGACCAATAAATCTTCGTTTTGTTTTAGATGACTCGAATTTGACGGTACCAAATACAAACGAATTTTTGATTAGATTTCTAAGAGCTAGAAAATTTGACAGTACAAAAGCATTTCATATGGTAAGTACTAGACAACTAGATACTAGAAACATTCGTTAGGTTTGTGCACAATAAAACAGTTACAAGTAAAAATCTCCAATTTAAGATCCTTATTATTTATAAACTGAACATGAAACATAACATAAAGTTCGAGTATATTACGGAAACTTAAAGACATTACCTTCAAGGATTAGACAGATATATAAGTTAGAAATAAATAATGCCAAGAAGAAGAAGAAGAAGAAGAAGAAGAAGAAGAAGAAGAAGAAGAAGAAGAAGAAGAAGAAGAAGAAGAAGAAGAAGAAGAAGAAGAAGAAGAAGAAGAAGAAGAAGAAGAAGAAGAAGAAGAAGAAGAAGAAGAAGAAGAAGAAGAAGAAGAAGAAGAAGAAGAAGAAGAAGAAGAAGAAGAAGAAGAAGAAGAAGAAGAAGAAGAAGAAGAAGAAGAAGAAGAAGAAGAAGAAGAAGAAGAAGAAGAAGAAGAAGAAGAAGAAGAAGAAGAAGAAGAAGAAGAAGAAGAAGAAGAAGAAGAAGAAGAAGAAGAAGAAGAAGAAGAAGAAGAAGAAGAAGAAGAAGAAGAAGAAGAAGAAGAAGAAGAAGAAGAAGAAGAAGAAGAAGAAGAAGAAGAAAGAAGAAGAAGAAGAAGAAGAAGAAGAAGAAGAAGAAGAAGAAGAAGAAGAAGAAGAAGAAGAAGAAGAAGAAGAAGAAGAAGAAGAAGAAGAAGAAGAAGAAGAAGAAGAAGAAGAAGAAGAAGAAGAAGAAGAAGAAGAAGAAGAAGAAGAAGAAGAAGAAGAAGAAGAAGAAGAAGAAGAAGAAGAAGAAGAAGAGAAGAAGAAGAAGAAGAGAAGAAGAAGAAGAAGAAGAAGAAGAAGAAGAAGAAGAAGAAGAAGAAGAAGAAGAAGAAGAAGAAGAAGAAGAAAGAGAAGAAGAAGAAGAAGAAGAAGAAGAAGAAGAAGAAGAAGAAGAAAGAAGAAGAAGAAGAAGAAGAAGAAGAAGAAGAAGAAGAAGAAGAAGAGAAGAAGAAGAAGAAGAAGAAGAAGAAGAAGAAGAAGAAGAAGAAGAAGAAGAAGAAGAAGAAGAAGAAGAAGAAGAAGAAGAAGAAGAAGAAGAAGAAGAAGAAGAAGAAGAAGAAGAAGAAGAAGAAGAAGAAGAAGAAGAAGAAGAAGAAGAAGAAGAAGAAGAAGAAGAAGAAGAAGAAGGAAGAAGAAGAAGAAGAAAAGAAGAAGAAGAAGAAGAAGAAGAAGAAGAAGAAGAAGAAGAAGAAGAAGAAGAAGAAGAAGAAGAAGAAGAAGAAGAAGAAGAAGAGAAGAAGAAGAAGAAGAAGAAGAAGAAGAAGAAGAAGAAGAAGAAGAAGAAGAAGAAGAAGAAGAAGAAGAAGAAGAAGAAGAAGAAAGAAGAAGAAGAAGAAGAAGAAGAAGAAGAAGAAGAAGAAGAAGAAGAAGAAGAAGAAGAAGAAGAAGAAGAAGAAGAAGAAGAAGAAGAAGAAGAAGAAGAAGAAGAAGAAGAAGAAGAAGAAGAAGAAGAAGAAGAAGAAGAAGAAGAAGAAGAAGAAGAAGAAGAGAAGAAGAAGAAGAAGAAGAAGAAGAAGAAGAAGAAGAAGAAGAAGAAGAAGAAGAAGAAAGGTTATGGATATGAGTACTTTACGTAGTCATTTTATTTCCTGATCAAATATCTCATTATCACTGTACTTATTTTTTTATTTTGCACAGACTTATCGAACGGTCTAGCTCTCATCGCCATCTTCTTATGATTCTTGTTTAATTTTTCAGCTGCAACGGTATTTTTTAATGAAAATAAAATGTCCGGAACTGTTCCAATGTTCGTTGCCTTCAGAATGCAATGCAATGTTCGAATTGCAAGCGCAAAACATGTTGCTACAAAGAGACCAATTAGGTAGAAGAGTATTTATTATAAGAGTTGGTAAGATATTTTCTTCTATATCTTTAAACAATAAACACGATTAGTTTGATGTCACAATTTTAGGTAACCAGTATAACTACTGTCACAGAAATAATACCTCTATTAAATTGAGCCTTATACCGGTAGATGACAGTTATTAAAGGTGTTTTAACTTGTATCAAATCCCAAATAAAAACAATTGAAAATATGTCTAAAGAAAATAATTTTATACAGCATGTATCCACAAGGTCAACTAAAGACTTCTGGATTTTTTTTACATATGATCATTTATGACAGATTTCTACAATTGTTGGTATGGCATGTTTTGTGACCATAAATCACGTTTTGAGATGGTTTTTGTCTTCATCAATAAGTTGTAAGTGTATTAAACAAAAATCTCGCAAAACAAATTTGGTAATAACTTTTTGGAACCTACGTTAGAAACTTTTATTTTTTTTTCCAAAAACATATGGAACGATCCACAACAAAGATTTCTAAAGTAAGTCTTGGCTACCTAAACCCATGCAGAACACAGAATCTTCAAAAATACTTGCTTTTAAAAAATCCAAAACCAGAGGCTGTAAACGCAACAATGGCAAGTTATTCACAGACCAGTGGAAGACAACGGTGAAACCATTGTAATACTGATGACGACGATTCTTTGGAAGCTTAAAAAAACCTACAATTAAAACCCTATCTGAGCCTAACACAGTCAATTTTCAAAATGCAAAGAGATGAGAAGAAATAACCTTCAGATGCTCAGAATAGTGAAAGCTAATCTGAAGCCTACACAACCCTTGTACCTACGATCATCTGAGAGGACGTAGACGTAGACCTAATGCAAGATCTCTGGATCTACAAAGGGTATCTGATGGGGCTTGGATAAATCAAAGGTAAACTAATATATAATAGCCAATGAACATTCGGAATGGCCTAAAATTCCTTAACTTACAAGATTTCTGCTTCAAAAACCTAGTAAGGATGGAAATAACAGGCAGCAAAAAGCCACTGGTTCTAAATTTTGCATACCTTCTTTATGAGTCTCCCAGTCCTCCACCAACAGATGAGCTGAGGAACCTAGTAAACACCTGTCGTACTGATTGACCATATATTTATTTTGTAACGGCAAAGGTACATTTTGTCTCCTGTTATATTTGTCGACAGTTTCCTCGAGCAATCTCAAAAATTGAGAGATGCCTATTCTATTAAAAGTATTAAAACCCATTGCCCGAGCTCCAGATGTTATGCTTCTGGTTTACGATCTAGTCCGCTCCATCAAGGATTATTTCGGAATTAAATCGCTCGGCACAGTTATTTAAAACAGTGAGTAGGTGTGCCAATTTTATTATGTTCTTTGTTGTTAATCCAAACAATAAGGCTTCCTTATTTATAAAATAATATTCTAATTAAATTTAAAAATAAACAATATAGGAAAAAGAGAAATACTCAAAATCCATGTCACATAAACGACGAGCGATCATTTCCCTCCTGAAAATAACTACTCCTTTGGCTAATATCACAACTAGTGTCACGTTATGCGTGATTTTACAAAGAAAATGTCACGATTTACGTGTTTTAAATATAATTTTGGGACTAGCTATGTCCCGGGGGTTAAATAACAAAATATATGAATTTGGGCCTCAATCACCTAAACACTATTTAGCCTTAAACTTGGCTTCGTAGCCCTTAACTGTATAAGGGTTCTACTCTTAATGTTAGAACCTGACACGTCTCTGTAAAAGGGCTGAAGGAAACACAATGTTTTCTCAAAACAAATATAATATTAAAATTACAACGATTATATAAAATATGTCTTAACTCGACATACACAACTATAGGCTCAATATAATATAAAAGACAACAAAATACTTACTTACCAACTCCGCTAATCTTTGGGGCACATGTCACAACCCTTAACAAACTATTTAAAAATGTAATTATTTGAAATACTAAAAAACGACTTTTAATTTAAACTAAGAAGATTATAAGCTGGAGCTGCTACAGGGAATCTCCTGCAAGGGGGACCTCCTTTGGGAAGGATCCGTTCCCTGTGGAAAAAGCCTCGTGCATCCCCTCGACATTACCTTTATAACTTTCTCATATTTTATTGTTATTAAAACTAATGTTTAATAATTAATAAATAACCAACCTTGCACATTATTGCTATTTAAAACAAATTGTTGACATAATTAAACAAAGTTTTATGTACAGGATGTTATTTAAATAATTAATTAAAATTAGGAAAAATATGAATTTATACGAATCGTGACACTAGTATAACTAAGTTGGTGTAGGTACCTGCCCGAATTAAGTTTGCCAACTTTTTGTAATGAATTGCGAATTGTAATACTGACAGCTATTTCTCTTGTAGCAAGGAACGTGCAATTTTACTTGCAACAAGCAGAATTGCGAACTGTAAAGTGGCTCTAGACATTTTCAAGAATTAAGAGACATCTTATTGAACTTGGAGGATTTACATCAGTTACTAGAGCACACGCCCCTTAGCGGTATAGTTTGGAACTTAAAAATAACTTTCAGCGAAGTTTAGGGACCACTTTTGTTAATAAAAAATCTCCGATCTGTACGATAAACGGTTTCTTAAATATAGCCTGTGTCCTTTCATAGTTGGATACCTGGTACAAAGCGAAGAACTTCAAAATTAAACAAGAGATATAATCTTGATTTTTTTGTGAAAGTAGCAAATTTGGTTGCCTATACCGTAACGTATATTAACAATATTTTAATTTTTAACTTTTCCAGATAGTTTCGATTCCACAAAAGTGACAATCGAAGACGTATTTCGCACCAATGTTCTAGCCTTAGAGCAGATCGTTAGAGAACCAGAAACCCAGATAGCCGGTATAGTAGTAATTTTAGACATGGCAGGTCTTAGCTTACAGCACGCTAAATTCTTCACGCCATACTATGCCAAAAAAATGGTCGAATTGGTACAAGAGACGTTTCCTTTACGCTTCAAAGGCTTCCACGTGGTCAACGAGCCTTTCTATTTCGATGCCGTGATTACCGTGTTGAAGCCTTTTTTGAAAGAGAAGATAAAAAAGAGGGTAAGTTAAATAGAAGCGAAAATTAATATACAATGTACAGGGTATAATTTGAAATGCATGTACAAGCAACTACGGTAGCGTAGGTGTCTACGGCGCCGCATTCATTTGCAAGCCAATTTTGAGTAAAAGAGAAACCGGCTTCGAATCCTAGACGACTATCTGAATTTATTTACATGGTTCTCTATAGGATTTGATGGATGTCGTACTTAAATTTAATTTCTGTTGATATGATATCCAGATCATAAAAATCGCCAGGCGTTACCATTTTAGATGACGGTGAATGGAGTTTTCCGGGTTTTCCTCACCTGTAAGTCAAATGGCGCCATCAAGTCGCCCCTTTGCGCCACGGCATATAATAATATTAATAGCCGTCACTTTGTCTGCACAAGTCATTTTACGGCAAATTTCTCAAATTTTCCAACTAACAATTATACATTCTTAACATATTCTTAGTATAAATATGCTTTTTAAGAATTTCTTAGTATATGTTAGATTGGATTAGATTGGGAGTTGGACGTTATTTGTCCTTGTCCACCGCGACCTTTTCAGATCTATTGTGGGACTCCGTTTATTTTAGAGTAGTCATCTAGCCTGGTCTTTTTATTAGACTTAGTAGCTTTGACAGTGGCTCCCGCATGTAGTTGCATGCATTTGGCTTTTCTTCGCCCAATGTTAGAAACCTCATTCCAGTCAGGACTTCACATTGGCACAAGACGTGAAATGATGTTTCCTCATCTTCTTCACAGAACCTGCACAAAGTTGCTTCTTCTGCTGGATTGATGACACTCATGTGTCTTTTAAGGCAACAGTGTATGACGAAATCACTAAATTTTGCTCTCAATTAATTTAAAAAATGTTTATTTCAATTAATTCCCGCCTGAGGACATGTATTTCTGTTTCGCAGAAATTGCCGTTTTTCAACAATTGCGAGTACACTCGTAGGTTAAAATATTCCTATATTTGCCGAAATCCGAATGGGCATTTTGAAGAGTCGATTTCGTACCGATTATCTACTTCTATTTGTCAAGGTAGTAGAAGGACATTTTTTTTTATTTTTAAATTGTAAACAGTCAGCTGTAGTGGTGGTATCCCCCACTGGGGCTTACCGGTCTTCCATATTGCCCAGCGAAAAAGCATAAATTCGATCACATCTGAGAATAACCCTCTCTTGAATTCCGGCAGTCGTAAACTCTTCTCTCTCCTGCAGTGTCGAGTGAAATACTCCGTGAGTGATCGTAATATCGAAAGAATAACCCCGTTTATTTTTCTAAAGGTAGGAAACCTCATATTATTTTTTTATTTACAATTAGTTTGGGACACCCGTCCGACAAGTGAAATAATTTTGATTCATGCCCAGCATTTTTCATTTCATCCTTTAGTGGGAAACCGTTGGCAATTTTTTTTTATAAGAAGCACCCAGTATTTTTCATGTAAGTTTCTCTTTTCTTTTATTTATTCATTCAATTGTATTTGAATCATTCCGTTCCCCGTCCACAACTAATTATTGAACGAAGCCCAACTTTTTCTGTAAACATAATTCATACACCGTCTTGATCGCCTTTTGGCAAATCTCAAAATAATTTTTCCGTTAACCATCGCATTTTTGTTCCAAACACCGCGCTGAAAATTATCATTCTCGTTCAATATAATTGCCAGAGCGTCGATCGGTCTGGTCTAAGATACAGGGACGTTCCGAAAACTTTGATTTCATTTGATTACCGTCATATTTAAATTGTTTTCAAGTGTATTAATTTATTTTTAATAAATTTTCCGTGGATAAACGATAATTTTGGTTTTCGGCAAACGAACATCAGAAAAGTGTTGCCAACTCAAGCTGAATTCTATTTATATCCGTTTAGTGGGTCTGTGTCGCAAGCTCCTTTAGATACCAGCCCTGGCCTAGACACAAGTTAAAAATTTGTTTGGTTTTATGTCATTCTATTTGTTATTCATTTTAATGGTCTCCGCGTATTCAGTTACCTGTAAAAATTCTCAAAACGTTACCGTTTGTATAAATTATTATGTACTTTTATTAGTACCTTCTAAGAATGTGCTATTAAATCACGTGCTCCGTATATACTTTTTAGAATATACTTTTAAGGTCATACTGCAAGAAACATAAACAGAACGTTCTTAGTATATTCATAGAACATTGATATTATATGATTAAAGGTATTTTTAAGACCCAAACTTCTGTTTGGGTCACTCTAAATATCTACTTTACTGATTAAAATAGTTTAAATTTTCTTTCAGATAATTTTGCACGGCAATGATCTATCATCCCTGCATGCTTTCGTTTCTACTGATATTCTTCCCGTAGAATACGGAGGGACTGCAGGCAATTTTAACAATAGAGCTTGGTACATGAAATTGTTAGCCGAAGAGACTTATTTCAAAAACTCGAGGACCTTTGGATATAAAGTTGACGTCGATCTTGATGTCGAAGAAGACAATGATTAAAAATAATTTATATTGAAGTGTGAACAATAATTTCTTGATTTTCCCTTATCTTTTAAATATTGAATTTGCTTTTCTACAGTAAGTAAGAATTGTATGGATTGCAGGATGTACCTGTATACAGGGTGTTTTTTAACTTTTAGTTTTTATTGTCAACAGAATACTTATGGTAAACAAAAAAAGATGCCTTCTACCTTTTGTTTAGTCTGGGATGTATATTTACAGAAGCTAGCGTTTGTTGACACCAGGGTGTTGAAATCTGTGGGATTTTGAAAAAACAGTGCATTTACAAATACTAGCAGATTTGAACACTAGAGTGATGAAATCTTATCTCTTCTGTTAAACCAGCAACGCGGCAGCCCTATGCTGCGTTTCAAATCGGTGTCAACAACCGTTAGCATCTGTAAATGTATATCCACTACGTAAGCTCACTGGTTTTAACAATCTAGTGTCTAAATCTGCTAGTATTGTGAATGTACTGTTTTTACAAAACCTCACAGATTTCAACACCTTGATGTCAATATGCTTCCGGGACTGTGTTAACTACGCTTTAATCGTGGACTGAAATGGCGAGCAAATCATTTCATAAAAACCAAAAAAACTAAGTGCATCACAGATATTATAGCCGATAATTTTACACATTGCATTTTACAGAATTGAACAGTTGAACAATTTTATTTTTGAGTATCCGAAAACAAAACTCTTTGTTTTAGTGATTTTTATATGCTCTTAAAAATGAGTAAATTTAGAAAAAACACTCTGTATATAGATGGATGATGATACAGGTTGATTTGAGAATGATAAATATAAGATTAACGTTAAAATTTATATAATTTTTCATAAGAACCACACTTATGTGATAATAAACTTTGAGATGTATTACTAAAGCGCAAAATTTCGTAATATTTACAGGGTCGTAAAAAACTTTTGTAATAATTAGAGATATGAAATAAGAAAAAACAAAAATTAATATTTAAATAAAAAATAGAGTTACATTAAAGAAAGAAGAGATGTACCAGAAGACCCAAATATTGCAGGGCATAGTGGCGCATTCGTTTGCAAAATTGTTTTAATTCGTTTTTTTTTTTTAAATGTCCGGAAGGCTTTCCTGATCATAAAAGTGTAAGATGACACTCGATATGTTATTGTTTAAACAACGAAAAATTAATTAAGCCAGAAAAAATGCAATTTTTGCAATGAGTTAATTTTTGTTACATTCTTTAGGATATTTCGAATAAAAAAAGTCCTTTTGCTCATAATCGTATCTTGAACCCTTTAATTGTTATGAATTTTTTAAAATCCGAAATTGACGAAAATTCTAATTTTCTTGAATTAAATAATATGCCTTAAAATTTAAAATGTTATAATTTTAAATTTTTTACCGAATATTCAAACTATAATAAACAAAATAACCTAAATAAATTTTCAAAATTTTGTTTATTGTTATGTTTTTTTTACGTTATAACAATATGCTTCCTACGCGCTGGTACTTTTAGAGAGAAGTACTTCTATCTCACTTCCAACTCAGAGGTAATAAGTTTTGAAAAATTATTATTAACATTTTTCATAACACTTTGTTATATTTGCCGATTAATAGTTTTGTATCATGTGATTTTTTTTACTTTTTAGAAACTTTTGATAACTTTTTTGTTGATTAAAGTTAACAGAAACATTTATTTTTAACATTTATTTTTATTCATAAAAAAATTATTGTCAGATACTGCCTGAGAAGTAAAATCTTCTTCAACCTTTTTTTTTAATACGATAAAAAGGCCAAATGCACTTGTCGTGATCCGTGAAAAATTTCTACCAGTTACAATGAACATAGTAAGCTTACAGGGGTTATAAAATTTTATGATTTCAAAAATATCCAAGCCTTTCTCCATTTAACAAAAATAAGGAAACAAATTTTTTTTCTAATATTGACAGTTAGTACTATAAATATGAAATTTTTTATGACTTTCAATCTTTTGCACTATGAATACAAATAGGTAAAGGGACTTATTTCGTATTATGAAAAAATTGTACGTTTAACTCTTCTTATATTTTTTTTCCTGTCATAAACAATTTTTACAACCTTCCAAATAGAAAATTCAACCCTGCCTTAGAATTTTTGGCTCGTTTTGAAAATTATTTTTCAGTTGTTAATCAGTCTCGCTCGATTCTACATCTACTGGTTTACTTTGCAGTCGTGTAATTTTCTGAGTAATAATGTCGTTCTCTTTAATTTCAAAAAAAATTAAATGATCTGACGACAAAAAGTGTTTATTTTGTGATCATGGCGAGGCGTTAGTGAAGTGTCCGAAACCTGATACATATTTAAAATAAAAAAATGAAACTTTTCGTCGAAACGATAACGTGACTGTACGATTTAATTTGTTGTTTAATGAAAATACTAGTGAACAATCTTTTTCGTGGCATCGTGGCGCGTAGGAAGCATATTGTTATAACCTAAAAAAACATAACAACAAACAAAATTTTGAAAATTTATTTAGGTAATTTTTTTTATTATAGTTTGAATATTCGGTAAAAAATTTAAAATTATAGCATTTTAAATTTTAAGGTATATTATTTATTTCAAGAAAATTAGAATTTTCGTCAATTTTGGATTTTAAAAAATTCATAACAATTAAAGGGTTGAATATACGATGATGGGCGTAAGGACTTTTCTATTCGAAATATCCTAAAGAATATAAAAACATTAATTCATTGCAAAAAAAGCATTTTTTCTGGCTTAATTAATTTTTCGTTGTTTAAACAATAACATCAACAAATATCGAGTGTCATCTTACACTTTTATAATCAGGAAAGCCTTCCGGACATTTAAAAAAAAAATACGAATTAAAACAATTTTTCAAACGGATGCGCCAGTATGCTCTGGTCTAAAATATGATATTTAATTTTTGATAAGTGCATCTTAGGTTTAAAGGCATGTAGGCACTGTTATAAAGAATGCAAATTTTTGAGAGACTTACAATAAATAAGGGTGGCACAAAAGAGATCGAAAAAATTTGAATGAAAAGATTTTATCGAATAACAATTGATCGAGAAGAAAAATAATCAAAAAGAAAAATGATCGAAAAGAACAATGATCGAAAAGAAAATTGATTGAAAATAGAGAAACCAAATATACATAAAATTGGAAAAAATAAAAAAACTTAACCAACCTACCTAACATGTGTGGTCTAGATCATCGCTAATTGCTTCGCAAAAAAAAATTGTTAAACGGGGTAGCTATTGTTTGAGATTATCGAAAAATTTACCTACGTTGACGATTAAATGTTATTTGATAAAATATATCGTTGATCAAATGTATCTTCGATCAAATATCATTCGATAAAATGTATTTTCGATCAAATTTCCAATTCGATCAATTTTGTGAGACCCATCTAATGTAAACAACACACACAAAAGACCATAAGGACTTTTGAAAAAGCCTGCTTGAAAGTAAAAAAAAGAATATAAAAATACATATACACACAGTGTGTTACTTAACATAAGTATGTACAATATATTTAACGGACGATTTCTTTGGGTGATTTTAAGACAAAAAGTTCATGTAAACATGGATCTGCAAATGGTTAATTTTCAAGATACAGGGTGTTAAACTTATTAAAAAAATGTGGTTTTTCGTAAATATTTTAAATATCCTTTACCTAATTTATTGTAATTTTGCAGTATTATTTGTAGTATTATCAGGCTAATTTAGCTCTTAACTTGATTAAACATTAAACGTGGCGTCCAGTGGCGTCCCGAGCGGCACTTTATCGAATATTGTTGACAAAAAAAATGTACGACACTAAATTTTTTGTAACTTTTATATTTTTTTCTGATTGAGCAATTAAAGATACATTTTTTTTGTATCTTGCTTAGTTTACGAGAAAAACAATAAAATTTACCTAATTGGATATGTCTGGACCACACAAGAAACATAGGGAAAAAGTGGAAAACGATTTGTTTTTAAGACTAGCCTTTTGTGGACGGTATCCTATTGTGCCCAGTAAAAAAAGAGCAAATTAATTAACCTGAAAACTATTAAATCAAGAAATGATTTAAAAATAAATCTTAAGACTAAATACAGTTCCAAAATTAAATTCGAAAATGAGCTACATGCAAATGTAAGTTCGAACATTGTTCAAGTGGTGAATCCAAAAATATATCATTATTATGAATTGTGAAAAATATGTCTGTCTATATTATTTTTGTAAATATTGACACTTTGGGAATCTATAATTTCTTGGGGCAGGTTGTTCCAGACTTCGAAGATTCTGTTACTCAGAAAATGTTGTCTCGTTCTTGTTTTGAAGTTTTCTTTCTGTAGTTTTAGCGAATGTCCACGAAGTCGGGAGTCAGTATTTAGAGGAAAAGCTTGATTAAGGTCGCCAAAGTTATCTTTTATTATTCGAAACCACAGAATTAGGTCACAGCGGAGACGTCTCTGTTGGAATGTTATAAGATTTCCCATTTCTAACCTTTCCTCGCATGATGGTCTGATGCGGCCAAAAGTAAGCCGGGTGGCGCGGGGTTGAACACATTCCAGCATTTGTTGGTCGCGTACAAGGTCTAGATACCACACGGGTCCTGCTTGTTTTCTCGCAATTCAATTATTAATTTCCATACAATTACATATGGACCGAAAGCAATCCACACTCCTTAATTGAAAATAATTTTGTCTTTTAATATTTGGGTTAGAATTATCAGATACCATCCCATTGGACCTCATTTTTTTATACCTAGACCTAATGTGTTCTATCTTGATTGGGAGAGCAGGCCCACAACCATGGCCCCCACGCTCGCCCGATATATAGATTATTTTCTTTGGGGATACCTTAAACTGTTGGTATACAAAACTTATATTGAAAATGAAGGGGATCTACGAAAGAGAGTCACTAATTCATGTGACATAATAAAAATACGCTAGATATAATAAAAACAGTGTAATGTCGCATTCATTTTGCATTGATATTCCAGAAATATTTTAGAAACGTTTCTACAACGTTTCATAATATTTATGAAATAAAACTACATTTCTGAAATATTGCTGTAAAATATTAAATTTACAGGTCATTTTTATATTTCAGGCACATTTCCGAAATGTTTCTGGGACGTTTCGTATTATTTATACAACATTACAAATATTTCAATACAACATTTTTGAAATATTTCCGAAATGTGTTTGTGCTGTATGGGTATGTTATAAATTATTTTTTTATAATTGAAGTCATAAGTGGATAAAGGTGTAATGTAAGTTTAAAGTTTTACAACTGCATTAGGATATATGGCTCATGACACCTTCCTATCTGATGAATAGCCGTTATTTATCAAAATTAGAAATCAGAACTATCGCAAACAAAAAATGTATATTTTAAGTATATTAGGCCATAAAAATCATTTTTTGAAAAAATGTAACATGACACCTTTATCCACTTGTGTCTTCAATTATTGAAGTGGTATGCTATTAGATGAATGTTCTCTTGAAAATAATAGAAATAAAGTTGACACTTAACCTAACCTTCCATTTATATTTGTAATGATGACATCAGCATTGGGATTCTCATCTTTCAATACGGCACGTGTTGAGACGACTATCTTCGTTCCACAGAATGCGATTGGTATGTAATGTCTCTCTCTATTTGATTCGTTACGTGTTGAGTACGCACATAAGAATCCCTGTCCAGATATATATCATATTGGTGGCTAAACGTTACACATCTCCTCTTTCTTTCATCAAATGTTTTCAGTTTTTAATAGATTTAAAGACGATTAAGTAACTTCAGAAAAAGACTTATAATTATTGCAAGCTAAAAAATAGTTTCTATTGTTGTTATCGCCTATTGCCTCTACAATACCTACTGTTAAAATTAAATAAACATATATACAATCTGTAAAAATAAGTACTGCTTCAAAAAAATCTAAAGTAGACTGGAATATTTAACATAAAATATATTGGAGTCGCTGATTTACTTACTATTTTAGTAATATACGACCGACACGTATTTTGTTAACCTTGTTAACATATTTACAGATGGGTGAAACAGTGATTCTTATATGTAGACTTATAATTAATGTAAGGCGTGGATTGTCACAAATCTATTCTTCTCTTGGGCAAAATGACTTTCCACTAAATGTCTTACATTTTGGATATATACGAGTAATAGTACTTTACCTGTACAACTTGGTGTTAAAGTTAATAGCCCAAGAGCCCACTGCAAACTTTTACCGTCATCTGATAATGAAATGAAATATACCTCAAAGCATCTAAAACCACTGTACTTCACCAAAGTGGTTAAAAAAATTTTATATTCAAAAAAATCATATAAGACATGACAACGCTAATTTTATTTGCCCTAGAAGTTTTCCAGAAAATAACATATTCAAATATATTTTCTTCCTCTTAACATTGCACAAAAATATCTATCCACGATTAATAGGCAAAAATCATTAAAAATATTAATCAATTTGTGCTGATTTGAAAATTTATTTTAGCTTACTTACGCACAGATTACAAAACGAAAAAGTATGCTATTGCCTTCAACTGAACGAATATATTTCATATCCATTCTAGGCAGTGAGAACACCGCAAAAAAATGAAATCCACCAATCACAGTTCATATTTTGATCAACCGACTGCTATTATTTTTAAAATTTTAAATAAGTGACAATTCTGTCAAACTAATTGTCAAGTATATTTTTTAGTTATTGAGATTAAACATACATTAAAATGGGTTATTCTTGTGTAGAATCGATAAATAATAGCATTTCTGGTTTTATTTCGTCTATAATTGTAAATAATATGTTAATTTAATTAAAAATATATGAAGTCAATTTAAATACGAGTATTAAAGCTACAAAAATAAAAGAATAGGTGGTCCTGTCGTAGCGTTCTTGCCTTCCATGCAGAAGACTGGAGTTCGATTCTCGAATGGGGAAAAACGAATTTAACTTTTTTCTTTTTTTTCGTTTATTTTATTTTAAAAATTATTAAAAGTCATAAATTATTTAAAAAATAGTTATTTTGTCTTAATAACCTAAAATGTTTTTTTTTGTAAATTTTCGTTAGTGGGTCGTAGAAAAAATATACTGTACAACTCGAGTGGATTGTCCACATCGTACTCAGACGATTGAGCACTCCGTACGGCGTTGTGCTCAAATTTCGTCTTCGTGCGATATAGCCATCATATCCACTCTTGTTGCACAAACTACTATTGTATACTTACTTTTGTGATTCATTTTTACAGGTTGTCTTAGAAACGACAAAAAAAACTACTAAGATTATGGTTTAAAAGAATTGTCTAACAAGAGTTTATAATCATTATTGACTATCTCTGCAAATGATTTATACAATGCCATCCTTCTTCTTTTTACACATACACATGGTTTAAAAGGTAAAAATATTAATAATTCAGGTTTGGAAGCTAGGTTCGCAATGAATTAGGATTGTAATTTTCAGGACAAACAATAATTATCGCTGTCACGTCTTATGTGATTTTTTAAATATAAAATAATGTTTTTTAACCACTGCTCAGGGTAGGGATTGACACAGGTATATTATATTAATGTTAAATTTAGTATTTTTTTACATTTATTAGGAAACAAAAATTTTTAGAAACAGAAGATAAATTTTAAAAATTTAAATATAAAATATTAATCAAAAATAAAATGCATAGATATGTGTGTAAAATACAAAAAAATATGGAAAACTACGCAAGTTTAATTGCAAATAAACTACAGAGTATGTTTACCTGTTGCTTGTGCAGTTTGAAGTTTGATATCGTCTAAAGTAACTCCTTCCTTTTTTGTGCGTCAAAATATTTAAAAACATTGTATATTACTTCACGACTTTGTCCGTTAATAACAGATCTGCGCTTTTTCACCCACAATAGAAGACATTATCAAAAATAAAACCAGTCACTTTAAACAAAACACAGAAACAAGAAACAAACAATGATCTAGTCGTTACGCTACTGACCGTAAGCAAGGACAAGGTTCAAATTGTGAATGGGCTTGGCGATTTTTAAGTAAACGAACTTGAGCATTTGCACTGGTTCTTTAGATTTGGCGTTTACAATACCACATGATAAAGGATAATGTTGTTACACGCCCTTGGAGCAAATTTCATTTCGTTATTAGATGACAGTCGAAATTTGTAGTGGGCTCTCCTACTATAAATAAATCCTAATTTTGGTAATCTTAAAACTTAATAGAAACGCGAATAAATTATTATTTCTGGTTGCTTGAACCGTTAATATGTTCTAATTTAAAAAAAACTAACGTTATTCAAAATCGTTTCTGTTTATTATTCACTTTAACACAAGCGAAGGAGGCCTGAATGTTTGATCTTTCTCAGCACTTTATGCCTATAAAACTGTTTAGAATTGTGACAAATTAATGCAGATCTATGTAGTGCTCAAAACTGTACTTTTGAATAAATTTTTTATTGTTGAACAATATAAAATTTTAAAAGATTGAACGTGTTTTATTGCATCCGAATTTCCTTAATATTTCCTAGAACAAAAACTGTGTGAATAATCCTCAATATTCTCTAGAAAACATTTATATAATTACTTTTTAACCAAAAACATATTTTTACTCAGCCCTCATTTCCTTTATGATGATTTAACGCAATTTACCTCTATTCCAAGTTGTACCCCTAAGAAGTTACGGAGGTCTAAAGTGGGGCCATAAATTTCGAAAAAAATTAATATCTATATTTGGTAAATTATTTAGGCGCTTCATGAGTCTTAATTTGGCGGTGAGTAAGAATTAATTGAAATATTTTAAAGGGTGGTTTTGAGGTAACCATAATGATAAAAAAGTTGTGAATAGTTATAAGAATGAACTGGGGAGTACACAATCACAGGGAAGGAAACTGTAAGGGAACTCTTCAGGGTTCACTTCCCTGGTCAACAAACCATAGCACACACACCGGCCAACCGGAATCTAAACGGACTGGAAGCTCATAATAGAGCCAACAGGGATGATTGGAGGATAGTCAAACAAGTGGTGAACTATGATAAACTGAAATGGGCAATTAGTTCATTCGAACCATATAAATCACCGGGCATGGACGGAATTTATCCAATAATGTTACAAAGAGGTCCTGATATTTTATACTGCAGATTCTGTAACATACTCAGAAGTAACCTGGCCGTTGAACACATACCAAAAACTTGGAGAAATATTAGGGTAACTTTTATACCAAAACCTGCGAAAATAGGTCAGAAAACGGCAAAGGCCCTAAGACCAATAAGTCTTATGTCCTTTGTACTTAAGACTTTGGAAAAACTGCTATATAGGCATATTAGAGATAGGATATTGGTTCAGAGGCCAATATACCAAGACCAATATGCCTATAGTGCAGGGAAATCAACTGAAACAGCTCTCCATCAATTAATAAAAGGGGTGGAGAACACACTGGAAAACAAGGAGGTAATAATAATAATAATAATAATAATAATAATAATAATAATAATAATAATAATAATAATAATAATAATAATAATAATAATAACAATAATAATAATAATAATAATAATAATAATAATAATAATAATAATAATAATAATAATAATAATAATAATAATAATAATAATAATAATAATAATAATAATAATAATTAATAATAATAATAATAATAATAATAATAAAAATAATAATAATAATAATAATAACAATAATAATAAGCTTTATTGTCTAACAGGTAGTCCCATTTACAAGACAATACAATTAACATATAATTAAAGTATCTATATAAATTATAAATAAAGTAAACAATGTTGTTTCAATACAATTAAAACAATGATTGAAAAAATGATTTATAAAACAATGAAATTGAAACAATGATTAAAACAATGATTGACGAGTACAATTAATAAATTTGGGTAAGGTCATACCAAATATATCAATATCATAATTGAAACTGGCAAGATTATTATATGTTTCACACATGTTGTAGATTGGTGATTTTAACATAAGATTGGTATTACTTTGGTTGAGATAAAATAATGTTCTTAATCTAGTGTTCTTGTTCGGAATACGCCAGCATATTTTATTTACTATTTCCGAGCAGTCAATTCTATTATTTAGCAACTTATACAAAAATATTAATATTAAATAAGATCTTCTCTCTAATAGCGTTGGTAAATCAAATTTACTCAATAACTGCAAGTTATTGTATCCACGAGGAGGATAAAGCCCATCATTTTTTAACGTAATATATTTTGCAAATTTCCGTTGTATATTTTCG